AGCCGTTACAAATACAATTATGCAATGATAACGGTCGAGTTTGACCTGCGTGAATACGTCTCATTGAGTTCAACTTTCGCTTACCTACTGTAAACACTTTTAAAGGAAAAGTTACTTCAAATGGGTAGCTAAGTGAAGTGCTTTTTAAAGAATAAGAATCTTTATGAACCATCTCTTGGTAAAATTACTCTGAACAAATTTAAAAAATGTTGTGACACTCACTTTACGAACAGTTTGTCCTACATAGTGCCCCATAGTGCTGTCCTTGCGTTCGATTGGCCGCCCTGGTCAACACACAATATGCAGTGGGAAATGTAGTCTGTTTCTCGACGTTACTGGTCAACTTTTGTGATCGGAAAATAACCCAACGGCAAACAGCTATACCCATGAACGTCTGCTTGCAAAAGCAGGACCCCCATAGACTACAGGAGCTGTAGTTTCCAGACCACTGCTTCAGCGTCGCTAAGGGAAACAAGGCTTTCCTGAAAAGAACTACAATTCCCATGCTGCGTTGCTTGACGTTGTGACAGCCGCAGTGTGTTAAGTCTCCAAGATGGCGGCGTGGGGAAGGAGGCGCGGTGTCCCAGTCAACAGGGAGAGGTCAGTGCTGCTTCATTCTCGCCGTCAAGCGAAATTTAAACACCTTGATCATCGCTGGCGGTTTTAAAGAATATTTATGTATTCCGCCTTTGTCTTTAAGGGTTATTTTTTGTTGCCAGTTGTCAATATCCTTTCATTAATGGCCGTGTGAGGTCTTGTTTTGGTTAGGTGTGCTGTGAGACCAGGATCGCGATTAAAGATCTCAACAGACCCGAGAATATAAAAAAGCACTTCCCCCCAAAACAAAAACGGTGCATTGTGGAGACTGTCTAATAAGGTGTTTATTAGAAATGTAAACACAATGATTTATGGAAAAAAAACCTGTCAACACCTCGATGTTCGGAATTGCAGCGATTACAGAAAGTAGTTGAACAAGATAAGAAAATGGTGGGGCGTGTTAAAACGGGTGCAACATAAATTAACACAATTGCACGTTTGGCGAAGTGAACTCTTAGGTTTACATCTTATTGACTCTGTTCCTCGGACACAGAGACGCGATAACCGTTTTCTGCTAATCGAACGACTTCATATTGTCCCGAAATCCTGTATTAATGAAGCGAGTGTGCTGTTATTTTACAAGTTTTTTTTTCTGTTACAAAAAAGAAGCCGCGTAACATACATTTTCTGTGTTGTTGTTGGGGGGAGTTAAGCGAAGGTCGCAGGGTGGTTTTATTTACTCTCGTACGGCCGAGAATCCTACAAACGCAGCAGCCGAACAAGCCTAGTACTGACATTAATTAGAAAAAAATCTTCACAGTGTGAACAGCTTCTCACGCTGCTGATGGGTTGATGGTATTTTTTTTTGATAACCGCAAGTAATCAGCGGTGTACTGTAACCGAGATCTCAAGACCAGAGTTGAAAGTAAATCCAAACTAAGTTTATGTATTCTTCACGATTCACTTAACTGTTTCTGTCTTCATATTGTAATGTGTGTGATGTCTGCTGATTGGATTTGGAGCCATTTTGTATGCAAACGTTGCACTTGAGTGAACCTTGGTCACTCTGATCTGGCCCACTGTAAATAAATTGGAAGTGAGTAAAGTTCACATAAATAGTAAATAGCAAAACGTGGCTTCGTATTCCTAAGTATATTGCTTCGATTATTTAGAGTGTTACGTCTCTCCTCGAAAGCCGAAGACAGCTGTACGTTGAATAAAAATAAATGCACTACCAAAGTAGTGATTACATATTACCATACCGGTTTTGATGTCACACAGGGACTCGTATTCTCTGCCAATAAATTTCATTCAGCAAAGCACGCTGAAGTGGAAGACACGGTTTTCACTAGTAGTAGAAACTGTTGCCATTTGCAAAGTCCGGCTAGTGAGCGTTTATTTATTTTTATTTTTATTTTTGCCTCCCAGCTGCAATGACGACTGAGCAGCGTTTCCTAAAGAAAAATAAACTGAAGTGAAGATTCTCTTCCCTCTTTGTTTGAGAGCATGCAGTGGTTAGTCTAAAGTCGTGTCCTCATTGCGAGCTCTGTATCTAGGTCCGGTACAGCAGTGAAATCTTTTCACCCAGCTGTGATGAGGTCTGCCCTGTGAATGACAGTAGTAATTCAAACGATACACAGCGAGGGGCAGAAATAATGGAAAAATATGCTTTTTTTTGTGGAGGCATCTTACATATTCTGAAATTAAATTTACATATTTCAATTAAATATTCTCATTACAGGGATGGGAATTTCGATGTTGCTTATTTTTTTGGCTATGTATGTACACAGTGCTCCTAGTTAATAGTGTAATTGTATGTGCAGTGCAATTTGTACTCATAAGAATGTGCTTTTCTTTTTAATGTATTAACTGGCCACTCATGGATGTCGAGTTGCTGCAAGGCTGTGGAACTTTTTATGATCTGCAGAACAGCCCTTAAAGGACTTTTATACTTTTACTATAAATGTTCTGAAAGTTCGTTCATGGGGTGGGTACCGTTTCATTTTTATTTCTGTGTGATGCTTTGGTTGTCCCCTGAGGATCTAAAAAAAAAAATCACATTTCGAAAGTTTTGTTGTGAATGCTGAATTAAAAAAATAAAAAAAACAATTAAAAACCCATTTGCGTTTTTTTTATGTGTTTGAAGTTTTTTCAGGTTCGGCGACGTCAAGTTTAGTCTGAAAGAGCGTCGTTTACAGGTTTCTCACTATCGCCAGGCTCCAGGAATCAGAGCATCGCCAACTGATTCTAGTTTCACCTCTGTGAATATTATGTATGATCTAATTATGAAATATGTTGTGTTTTTCCCTGTTCCCCTAACAGTGGAGAAACAAGGTATGCCTTAACAGGCTGTCCTAAAATTGAAAAAGTACTAAGCTTTCTGTGTTGATTGATTTTTCTGGGCTTACAACCAATTGATGGAGGACCTGTGGTCTTTGTCGTTATGATGTCAGGTGTTTTTCTGAGAGGTCACTGAGGAGGGGTTTCGTCTTAATTCTCCGATCGTGTTTCGATAGTGTAGCTCATCAGACGAGCAATTAAAAGAACTTGGCAGCTGATCTGTGAAGCCGGAAAATACAATAGTGGGGAAAACCGCGCACACCAGTGTCAGCACACCATTGTTCACCTTATTTAGTTCCTGGTTTCTTTTCTAATTAAGACTTTGTCTCTTGCACGTTATCAGACTGGCTCGTGTGCGAGTGAGCCTTTGAAACGCTGTGACAGTTCAGCCCAGCTGCCCCAGTGTGGAGGTGATACAAGCAGCTTGTGTATCCATCAGCAAGCTGGCCAATCTGCAAGGAAAATGGGGAAAAAACAACTATCGGAAGTAAAAATACTCTGATCTTTAATCACTCCCCCTTTGTCCCTCCCCCCCCCTCCTTTGAATCCTCTCCAGGGGTGTGATGTCCACTACGGACTGCTACATCGTCCACGAGATCTACAACGGGGAGAATGCCCAGGACCAGTTTGAGTACGAGCTGGAGCAGGCTCTGGAGGCCCAGTACAAGTACATCGTGATCGAGCCCACCCGCATCGGGGACGAGACGGCGCGCTGGGTCACCGTGGGCAACTGCCTGCACAAGACCGCCGTGCTGTCCGGCGTGGCCTGCCTGCTCACCCCGCTGTCCCTGCCGCTGGAGTACTCGCGCTACATCGCCTTGCCGGCGGGGGCGGCCAGCGTGGCCTGCGCGGCGCTCTACGGCATCTCCTGGCAGTTCGACCCCTGCTGCAAGTACCAAGTGGAGTACGACAGCCAGAAACTGTCCCGCCTGCCCCTCCATACGCTCACTTCCTCCACCCCCGTGGTGCTGGTGAGGAAGGATGACATTCACAGAAAGAGACTCCACAACACGATAGCGCTGGCCGCCCTGGCTTACTGCGTAAAGAAGATTTATGAACTCTATGTCGTATGATTTATTAAAAAAAAAAAACAGCCCTAAAAGACCTTAAAAAAAAAAATCAGCATCTAGTATTGTTTGACATACACAAAGCTTTCTTTGTTTCTGGTTGAAGCCCAGAGGGATAATGGTTAAAACTCTAGGGATTTTTTTTTCTATTTACTTTTGAAGTAACATCACCAGTGCACTGATTGATATTCTATTTTTTTTCCCCCCGATCCTCCGTACACTAAATTGAGGATTAAGAGACCATTGAAAGTGAATGGACAAAACAGTTTTGAAGTATTCTCAAAGGCCTGGTATGTTTTTTTTTCCTGGTAGTTTTATTGTAACCCTTTATTGCTCGTCAGAGAGTGCTCACTTCATTAAATATTAGGAAATCTGAAACACTCTTTTCTGTATTTTCTTTTTCTTTCTTTTTTTAATATCGTTCTGGTATCCTTCTGCTGTAGTGTTTATTCAGAAACATGATCATTCCCTATTTTAACTCGCTTATTAGTTTTTTTTGCCTCTTTCCATGACTCTTTTTTTTTCCCTGTCATGCCAACTAAATAAACCCGAGACTTGCATGCAATGGAAATACCTGCCTTAATGCACCAAATGCGTTAAGGTAGTCCTTGCATTTTGTCACCTGCAATTCTGCAAATATTGCACTCTGTGTGTTGCAAGACGCCAGAGGTTTCCACTGGAAGTTTGAAAGTGTGAGATGACTTAGCAGCAATTACAAAATGCAAGCTTGCAACCGATTCTCTCTACTTAATAAAGTTCCAGTGATTCTAGTATGCTATGGTGAATGTAATACACTGTAAAGTGTAGAGTCTTACTTGTTGGGTGCCTTTCCTGAGTTATTTCTCCTAGTGTGAACCTCATGGCAGAGCCTGCGGTTAAAAAATCCACACGCTGTGTGGAAATCCCGCAGGTGACTCTGAAAAACAGTAGTGGCCGGTGCTAAAACATGCTGCTCGCCCTCGAAATGCAAGCCATCAGTTATTGCACATGTTTATTAAAGAAGTCGTTGAGTGTCTGCCACTGGCTTTCCTGTGCAAAACAGTAGCACAAGTTGCTCTCACCAGCTTGCCCTATTCACACTGTACACAGTAACATTGTGGTCTACAGTACCCTATTTCTGTGCACCATGGATCTGAAGTTGCACCTCAAGTTACTATCCTGGCATAACTCAAATTGCCATCAGCAGGAGCTGCCATCACAATTTCCCCTCTGCAAAACTGTACTGGGATCTGATCTGCATTCTAATTTTAACCAGGGGAGATCTGCCCAGCTGGCTCAGTTGGGTCTTCAGCTGAATTCTGAGCTGAAGTCATTATGGCTTCAGTTCCAAGCCCAGACGGTTGACATGGACAGAGGCTGTATCAATTTTGGTTCAGGGTGGAATGAATCTTTGAGTAGGATGCTAGTTCTGTCAGCAAACAGAAAAGCTTGTATTGAAGAGACTAAAGCTCTAAAGGGTCTAAAAATTCAAATAGATCTCTAATATTATTTTCAGGTGTAGTCATGACTGGTATAAATGCAAGCGCAAACCTTTTACTGGATTTGTGGGAAGGATTTTCAGCAAGTCCAAGGAGTTACAGAAGTGTGTGTGTTGTGACCTGCTCTCCGAAAACAAGGGTTTTTGAAGCCAACGCTAATGATCAAGTTATTAATCTTAGAAACAAGACATAGATCGAGAGTTTTAAAGGAGTGATGAGCATTTTCACTTTGCTCATTTTCACTTTGCTTGTTTCTAGTCACAGAGTCTTGCTCAGACATGTTCAGATCTCAAAATCGTGAATCGGAGCCTCAGGTGAAAGCATTCACCTATAAAAATCTTGGTTTGAATGGAGCCATTCATATCTCATCTGTATTAACATCAGTCAGAATGCTTTTCATGTGGATTTTCGGAGGTTTCAGTTCTGTGGTGCATCTATTGTGGTTCCTGTATCCGTTAACCGTTCGTTCGAATATGTCTTGGTTCCACTGCTCTGGGAAACACATCTCGAATCTCGCAAGCAGCTCTGTGTGCTTGAAAAGAGCAGCTTTCTGTGTCTACATTCAAATTGTTGTACAATTTACATACAGTATGAGCAGTCATTGTTTCACCAAGATTTATACCAAGGATATACCCTGGACAGGACGCCAGTCCATCGCTGGGCAGGCATACACACTCACACCAAGGCCATTTAACTAACCGGCATGTCTCTGGACAGTTATTAATACTGTATAACAGCATCACCACTTGTTCCCGTTTGCCCAGGTAAGCTATACACCAGGGAATAGTGCAGGTGTTGCTCGATAGAAAACGACAGGCTCAAAGATCGTTTTTCCTCTGAGCAGGTCGATTGCAGTTACATAAATTATTTTCACAAATGGTCTCTACAAAGCTGACGGTGTGGAACACATGCCTTTTGCTCTTATAAAAATGCAGATCTGGTGTTGAATATAATTGCCTTGCCTAATAATTATTCAAGGCAAATCATTTTGAGCAGTCTCAGAGCAAAAGATATTGTAATTGTGATGTATAAAGTGGTGTATTGTATTTGGCGTAGGGCTTTTCTTAAATTGTACAGAGCATTTCTGACAGCCTTTGTCATTTTCAATGACTCGCTGCTGTTAGCTGGCTTTTCACATTTCTAAAGGTAGCTAAAACGAACAAAAAAATGTTGATTCAGTGTTCTTTAGTTCATCTGAGGTTCATTACATCCACAATCTAATGAGCTGCAAAGTCTCCAAACCTTCATTTTCATGAACAAAAACTCAATTTAAGTCGAGTGTTAAATTGCAGTCGGCTTCGCGGGTTTTGCAGGTTTTAGAAAAAGAATAAAGAAGTAATAAAATGCATTACATTGCACTGTGTTTAATTCCGTCTGGATCTTGATCAGGGAGCTATCTCTTCAGAGCAACCAGTGTATTTATTAAGCCAATGGATTGAACAGTGCAGGCCCCCAGGGTGTGTTCAGAGTTCGTGAATGCGGTGCAGGGAGATGATAATTTGACAGCCAATCAAAAAGAATACAGCTCATTAAGAACATTTAATAGCTGGACTGGGTTGAAGATGCAGAAGCTATATATATTTATACAGTCACCGCTGTAGATGTAGTACTCCTGACCTAGCTTGAGAGAATTTTTAAACAGACACCTGCTCTTGTGTGTGATACCTCAGGCATAGCTGGAGCTGAACTATAAAACCTTTTGTAGATCAAAATATTGCTGTAATTCAGGGCACTACAACTCCTCCTAAACCTTCACTGAACTGTGCTGTGACTCCTTGCATCCCTACATTGTGCTCGGTACAGATCAGCGCTGTTACTGTCCTTGTCAGTGTTCACTTTCCTGGCCAGCCTTCAGTGCGTGTTCAATGCCTCACTGAATGAAAGAAAGCTCAGATGTGCAGCTGTGAAGCCCAGTGCACATCGGTAATCACCTGACCTGGCCACCTTTCCCGAAACAGCCGGACCAAGTGTCGAACGCACAAATGCTCGGCACGGGCACTGCTTCTGTAAAAAAAAAAGTTCTTGGCTTGTGAACTTGTGGCGAAATTAGCATGTGTTGCTTTCCTGCCTCTTTAGAAAATGAAAAAAAACAGTCTTGGAAAGTTCTTGGACTGCTGCCGTATTTTTATACAGCCAAGGCAGGAGTAGAGCAATCCATCATTTTACAATACACAAAAAGAAACACAAATAGGATGTTTTTTTCCCCTCCTAAAGCAAGTTTTATTGTTTTCGTCTTAGGAAAACAAACTTTTGTGCATTCCTACCGCTGGCTGGACTTGCTGAAGAGGGTCATTTCCTCCTTCTTCCTGCCTCAGCCCTTTCTCCTTGTACAGTCCTGTTTCGTGCTTCGTGCATCGTCATCTTTCCGGTCCCAGGTGTCATTTCCAAGCAGACTAACTGTAAATAACATTTAAAATATTGTATTTGTCCCCAGGGGAGCAATTTAAGCAGCAAGCAGTGCAACATTCATTGCATAACAACAGCAAAAAAAAGTCTAGGAGAAAAAGGTATACGCATAAAAAAAACAAATGGACCACGATAGTGTTTGAAAGTAACAGTGTGTAGTATTTAGGAAGGTATTAAAGTACATTCGCATTTTCTTGATGGGCTCTGTCCAATAGACATCATTTCCAGTCACTGTTTGTGAGCCTCAGGTCTCTGGAATGAAGCTTAATTTCCTTCTATCCGTCTTGCGCTGGCTGTGGACAAAAACGTCTTCCTGAAGGCAGAAGGTCAGGAGACTGCTGAAGGAAGTGAGCTTCCTCAGGGGCTGCTGGGCACACAGCTGTGCCAGGGGTCTGAAAGGTTAGTTATTTGTTGAGTAATTTAAAAAAGTAATTTCCCCCTTTTTACTGAAACAAAATGTATAGTAAACGCAAGACATACTATATAGTTTACAAAATATCTCTTGGTAAATTGCTGTCGTTACTCAGAAAACAAGGATCATTTTTGTCTAAACAGTCACTTTTGTCTTCAGTCACTTGGTACGTCTCAAACATCTGTCAAAACACAAAATTATCCATCCCAGACATACAACATAGTCTATGTTTAATCTTTGCGCTCAGATATTCTTCATCACTACAAAATACCGAGGATTTCAGAGGTTTAGATAGATACTTTATTGATCCCGTGAGGGAAATTGCAGAAATTTTGTATTTACAGCATTTTGAAGGTGGCATTTGAAATTCATTACATTTCTTAGCTTATTCTTGCTTATCTTCCACTGTAAATATCAGTACAGAAGTATAGATACAAGGTCAAAACTGGAATTAAAGAATATAATCTGTAATACCACAACATCTTCTATCTATTCATACAGTAGACCAGCACAAGACAGCCCAAGAACCGACTCACCTTGTTCTTGGTGGAGCATATTTATTACAATGAGCAAAACTCCCCTTCCATTGAAAGTTTCATGATTGAGAATATTATCAGTGCTATCATCATACTACAAATTCAAGTTGGTAGCTGCGTTAGCATGCGTAGGCTGCAAAGAAACAAGTAAAGGTTATGGTCATTTCTTCTCTTTTCAGCATGGAATAAACTTTGTTCATATCATCATACTATCTGATATAGCACTGCTATATGTGCAAATTCTGAAATGTTTAAGAATTTATGTCAGGGTTTCTTTTTTGGTCAATTGTTGAGAAAAGGCACACATACAGTACACAGAAAAATATACAGATGTGAAGAAAAATTACAAGACAGACAGCGTTACTCAGAGCTCTCTTCCAGAAATCAGAAACCCGAGGAGATACACAGCTGACAATAGATTCAACATCCGAGTAAATAAACAGGACAGGTGTTGAATACCGGTTCAATGCATGTAGTCAAACACTCTGAGAGCCAAATGAAGAGTAAGCCACAATGAGTTATTTGCAATTTAGGACATGCCAGCAAACACAGGTGGCTTCTTTGGGGATTTTGTGTTGGTGCTTGAATTTGATAGTAACAGCAGGCAGGCCACAACTGATAGGAGAGTTACAGTCAATTTCTGGTGCGTCATCTGAATTTCCCCTGATACTTTCATAGGACACCAGGAGTCTCTCATATCTTATCTCTGCTTTTTCATCATGTCGCTTTCAAAGAGGCAGCAGTTGTACCTGTGGGATTCGTAACGTATCAGAGGAATACCTCATTTTCACACCAACAGCTCTACTGCAGACTTTGTCAGTTAACACCAGAGCTCTCCATCAAAAACACTGTAATGTCCAGTGAGCAGGAGTTAAATCTATTAGAATACAATTAAACCCATCTTAAAATTGATACCTATGTATTTTTTGTATACCATATAGTGACCGGCATGTATAGTTTTATTCCTAAAGGAAACACTATAGAAATGCATATAAATAGGCAAGAATTATTATGATAAAATACTAAAACCTGTTTAAAGTTTCATTGTCACAGGAATGTTAAGCATGTTGTAACTTTATGTCCGGGGAAACCTGCTCTTGTCAGAGCAAAAGAGAATGCTACCACATTCTTGCACCAAACAGACTTTGAGGTTAGAGAGATCTGAAACCCTGAGAGAGAGATGCATCACCTGGGTCTGTCAGAGCTGAAGAGAAGAAAGAGGGAAACAAAGTAGAAATAAACCAAGATAGTGCTGTAACAGCAGCAACTGATTCTCTGGAAACTCTCAGCCTAGGGAAAATGAAGAAAAAGAAAAAAGGTATTTCCCCAACTTTTTACAAGTAACAGAGAAGCGTTCTTCTTCAGGCTACTGGAAAACGAGCATCAATCACTAGTTTCATCATTGTGATTGTTAGGTGAAACAAACAGGTGTAGCCCATTTGTGCAATCCAAACTAGTATTCCTCTTTGTTTCGAACAAGAAGAGAGTTGTAAATTTGCTAGAAGAGGTTTCAACTCTTCAAAAGCACTGGTGGGTCTGTCTGGTCAAACTAGATTGATCGAGTCGAGGGCGATCCACTGCTTCTCCCTGACAAGGACTAGCCAGAGGGTGAGAGGTGGAGGTGAAGCTCATTGAGCTCAGGACACCACGAGTGAAAAGCTCAGCGATGTGAGGGACCTAGGGCTTGATCTTAGAGGAGATCAGAGAGGACAGAGACATCAGCGAACTGTAGACTCTGAGCCTGAGATGTTGTCCATAGTGGCAGCCACTACCCTCATGGCCTCACACACCTCTTTGCAATCAGCCAGCTTTCCTTGACTGAGTTCTTACTCCCTGCTGCTTGAGCCTGAGCCTCTCGCTGAACTTGGGAGTTTTGTCCTGGACACCATTTGGCTCAGGTGCTGATCCTGCTCCAGAGCTTTTTAGGAAATGGTTCATCTCCTGCCAGGTAGGTTCCAACTCTTCAAAAACACTGGTGGGTCCGTCTGGTTTAGCGAGTGAAGCCATCGTCTCCAGCTCCTCCTGGTCTCTGGGGTCACTGTGGGTTCTTACAAATATTCTTCCACCTCCTCTTTTGTAAACTCCAGCTTTCCTGATCTTGTATCCATTTGTAATGCTTAGGGTAGGGTTTAAAGATTAGCAAAGGGGTTGCACTGAGGTTGAGAAATTTGAGTTTATTGGAATGTAATATGTACTCCAGTCCAGTAAACTAGTATTGAAAATCATGCTAATGAGTTAAGTAGCTACTGCAGCTCACCAGATGACAAAATAAGTTGCAGTAATACAGTGTGGACTACTTTGACATGAACCATGTGAAACGTGAAAGGATGTCATGGGGAAGTGTATTTATAAGTTCTTTACACAAAGAGTTGTGGGAGAGTGGCACAGGCAATCCAGCCATTTTGTTGAAGCCAACAGCCTCTTTACTTTTGAGCAATGGCTACATGAGACTATCCAAGCAAACTGATATCAGTAACCAAATGGGCTACATGGATCAAATACTGTCCTCTCATTTGAACTTTCTCATGTTCTTTTAACGTATTACATGAACACATCAGCTGCATGACTAATTAGAATTAAATTATTTCATTCACATCATGCGGCTTTCAGATACTAATAAGGATTAAATGCACTGACTGTGATTACTCATTGGGCTATGGGGAAAAAAAGATTTTGAAACTAGTAACTAATGGGGGGTTCTGTAACCACGCTCGATTTCTTCCTCAGGTGTAGTTAAGAAAAAAGCTGCCTGCGCAATCAGTCTGTAGCCACGCCCACTCGCATGACATCACTCGCAGGCCACGCCCCGCGCACCTGTGCGCCAGGTTCAGCTGGAGAGAGCGGAGCTGAGTGAGTTTGTTCCGCGTCTTTTATGATTATGTTTTATTTTCCTTTATTTGAATGTAGATAACATTTAAGGTCATTATGTAGAATAAACCTTACATGAGAAAAGGGTAAAACACGTATTTTCGTTGGGAGCTAAATAGCATTTTTCATGCGCCTTTGTTCACAAAACTAAGCGTGTGCATTCTTCCAAACCTGCGTTTGGAAAGGACTTTGAAAAGTAGCTTTGTAAAGATTTTCGTTATTTTCCAGAGTTTGCTCTTACATTCGTAATATAATTGTCGCTTGCAATTAACCTTTTAATGGGCTTAAAATTGTAAATTTTGCTATTCTCAGTTTAGGGAAGGACACGATTCGCATTAAATATTGGGAGTTTAAACGTAAGTATGAACATTTTATTCATTTCTTTACAAGTATCTCATTCAAATATATTTTGCGCTATCTGCCCTAGTGAAAACGCCGTTTGCTAAGAAACCTTGGTTTAATTTATCTTTAAATAATCGTCTAAATACTTGTGTTCTTGTGTTTCCAGTTCGGTGTCTGCGGACAGGACATGCTTGGCTCAGCTACTGGAATTATCAATGTAAGTATAAACCTTTTTATTCGTTCACACGTATCATTTTGAAGTATCTCCCGAGAACTGTTCTTGGAAATGTAATGCACAGCACCGAAAAAAGACTCAAGCTAGGAGATACTAGATTTCTCCAGGGCAGAAATCGTTTTGACCCGATGTTATAGGCCTGCTGTTTATAGAAATCATTTTCTGCTAAACTACAATCAATTTAGTTTTTTTTTATGCGTCTAATAGAATATTCAGAAACCGTTTAGGCTTTCGAATTGCATCACAACAATTAAAACAACGGAGCCTTTAAAGATATGGATGAATTATTTGTGTTAACTAAACTGTTTCAGGAAAAGAGTGCTTATCCAAAAGGAAAGCATAAAAAGAATGTTAGTCTGCAATCGGCACACGGTAGCTGTATTGTGCTTTGGGTATTCACACATGGAATGTAATCTTTAAATATAACTGCTTCAATACCTTGTTGAACAGGAACACTCTGTTGCACCAGGCTAATCGCTTTATTGCTACTGTGTCTTTTGAACGTGTGAATCAGTTCAGAAACTCGATCTAAATAGCTAGGATAATTTCGAGATCCTGTTTGTTACAAAAAGTTAATACTGATTTCTGTTTTTTCAGGAAATGCAACGAAGTTCCAGTCTTCATTCCGGTCGCTGCCTCGACTGATAACTCGGAGAAACAGTAACGTGCTGTGTGTTTCTGTATCTTAACTTGTAGTTGTTTGCAAATGTTTTCTTACTCTGTTGACTTGTAACAGTATTTTGCGTTAATGTAGCCGTGCTTTGACACTTCGTAATTGAAATGCTTGTTCATTTTCACTTTGAAGCCTGTGCATCCGACTTATTGTAATGCTTTGTTTTGTATGCCATTTTCGCTCAATAAATGGTTGATTGAACCTTGATTTTGTTCTTTGATTTCTTGTGCAGAGTTTTGTTCCCCCTTGGCCCTGAAAA